TGATTGGCTCAAACATGGAAATGGACTTTATTTGCATCTCGAAACGGAACACGTGGCTCGCTGTCGCTTCTTGCCCTCTCCTCGTCGTCCTCTGTCGTTTGGTTCTTGTATCACCCTCACACCCTTGTAACCCCCTGCCTCTCAACCCTCAACTTCTGTTCAGCACTAAGCAGCAGCCATGTCGACCGCCAAACCCACGTACAATGTGGTGAGTACCCTGCTGTATATGCATAGGTGGAGGCTACGCTGCGCGTACCGATTGGAGAGAGTAATCGTTGTACAGCAGTACGCACGGGCGTTCGCCGAACACCTATTCATCATGTCCGAATGTCCACATTCACAAGGGCGCTGGAAAGTAACCCACGGTGACACGATGAAACGATGTAGGGTCCTATCTCTCTGAAAGTGTTCACATGCCCAACGCTATGCAGTACGTATGTAGTCATGTAGTCATACCGATAATGCAAGCGGCCGTTGGTGTGGGCGCGATTGAAGCGCACTCGTCGATCTGTTGCTGGGCACAGACTCACGGGGAGGGTGGTTTGAACCAGGCCGTACGCATTAAATAACTCTATTGAATAGATAGTGTTCCTTTGCTGATTCATTACAGTCGAACCTCGCTTAAGTTAACACATGGTTTTTCCCGAAAAAAAGTTAACTTAAGGCGAGGAAGTTAACTTAAAATTCAGGGGACCACAACTCACCATCCCCGGGGCCAATAGAGGCGGTGAATACCTCAATAGACGCGCATTGGGCTCCACTACGTGTTTGACGAGAGAGGAGACTGAAAAAAGTGAGAGGGAGCATATTTTTATGTCCATTTTACTAAACAACACTATAACCAAGATGCTATGTTGGAACGCTTGAACCCACGCACACATTTCTCGTCGATCGCAATGTACAGCCACTCCTGTGTAGTAGTCTCATGCGGTCCCACGCATTCAAGACATACATAGGCCACCCCAAACACAGCTCTGGTCGTTTGTACCGCACACTCTACGACCTCCACATGTCGCGCAGAGTTGCCTGCAGCTCCCCCCCCTCCTTGGCTCGCCGCTTCACTTGAGTTTCGTGAGTGAACGAATGCACAACTTTCGAGAGCAGGTACTGGGTCTCGCGGTACTCCCCATCCTTTCCGTTCGCGTACAAGTAGGAGCAAACCTTCTCTAGGCTACCGCGAACTTCGGCCTCTGTCATCGAAGATGTTACGCACGACTCTGGTCTACCCCCACCATCTTCATCGTCCGTGGAGTCCGGTACCGTGCATGTAGGCTCCTCGCATCGTTTTTTGCCAGGCGCAGACGATGCACCGCTGGATGGAAGGAATCTCTCCATACCCACAGACAGCAGGTGCAGCAGCAGACCTCTTATTGGCGGTCTACAGAGCAGTGAGAGCACTGCTGCTGCTGCTGGTTTTGAGGGGGTCCGTGGACTGTATTTTTACCCCCCCTGTATGCAATACTTTCTGCGGGGCACCATGTTTCCGAAAAAAATTGTTAACTTTACTGGGGGAGTTAACTTAATTTTCGTTAACTTAAGCGAGGTTCGACTGTACCCCCATATACCCTCTTGCGCTCCTGTCCTTGCACCACAGATGGTATTCGATGCCATCAAGACCCTCAAGGAGCGGAACGGATCCTCCATCCAGGCCATCAAGAAGAGCATCACCGCCACCTACCCTACCCTCAACTTCACGCCGCACCAGATGCGCAGCGCCCTCAAGAAGGGAGTGGAGTCCGGCAAGTTTGTCAAGGTGAGGCATGACCGCCTTCTCGTCTTCCCTCTGGCAGGGTCGCTGTTACTTGAGCTTCCAACATTCGGTCTAGTGCTGTACGTACCACCGCAGTGTTGCCCCGCCACTGGTTGCCAAGCGTGCTACGCGTCTGTGTCAGAGTTTCTCTGGTCTGGTGTGTTGTTCTTACCAGCTGATCCGCCCCGGGAGGGATGCTGCACTCTTGGTATTTTGCTACAGAAGAGTATGTCCTGTCTCTATGATACTATCGTGTTTGAAGAAGGCCTTGGTTGTTCGGGTTGCAATGTCGCCAAGAGATTACTAACCACATTCGTTCCTCGACAACGTAAATGATTTCCCATCAAGCAGATGAAGGCTTCGTACAAGCTGAGCCCCGAGGCGAAAAAGCCCGCCCCCAAGAAGAAGGTGGTGAAGAAGGTCGTCAAGAAGGTGCCGAAGAAGAAGGTGGCCAAGAAGCCCGCTGTGAAGAAGACCACGACGAAGAAGCCCGCCGCGAAGAAGGCCACCACCACCAAGAAGACCGTCACCAAGAAGAAGACCACCACGGCCAAGAAGCCCGCGGCTAAGAAGGCCATCACCAAGAAGAAGCCCTCCACCCCCAAGAAGAAGGCTGCTCCCACGAAGGCCTAGGCGTACAGCCATCTCCCGTCTCCTCAAGCGAGATGTCTTCCGTCTTGCTTCAACAAACCACCTGGTGTTTACTCAACACCACCCATACGACCAAAGAAAACAGCACCGCTGTAAGTGCTCTGCTAACCAATAATGGGTTGGGTACGGTTAACCTATGCGTTATGATCGCATCACGGTGCTAGCCGCGTTCGGAGTCGCTCCATGGGCAACGTGGAGCTCTTCTGTGTTGCGGGTGAACAGAAACACAGTTCCACTACCTTGACGGCTCGTATGTGCCAACTCACCCCCCGTTGCCACCATCTGTGTTCGAAGTGAAGGCAATGTACCGAGTATCATTGACAAGTTTGGGGGCAACGGTCCGTTGGTGCTGATTTACAACGCACGGAGGATCAGCCGTCCAAAGATTGCAGCAGCATCCAGTCGGCTTTCGAGGCTACCAGTATTAAGTTTTGGCACACAGGGCGGAAATGTTGCGAATACGGTTCGTCGCTAATCTGCTCGACCCGTGCTACAACATGGTGTGACTCTGATCTGTCTGCCTATCGCACCTGGTGTTGTATTGCCGGTACGCCTGGTTGCCTTGCTTTTTAGTATCTCAATATGGAGACTTTGCAACAGTATGACTGCACTCCGGCTGTGAGTAGGTGCATGGGGAATTTATCCGGCGACGTCATTCCGTGACCTGTGGGTCGCCGGCTGCACCTTCAAGTTAAATGACCTCAGGCTGAGATTTGCCAAGGGCGCCAAATATCGTATACGACACAAGATAACACCCCGTGGACCGAATCCCAATGCTCGATTACGCCACAACGAACATTCATTAACGAAACGATGTATTTTCGGGAAGCTCTCGACGGGACGGCTTCAACGCCGCCGTTCTCGACACCACCGCTCTCTCTGCTGTTGAGAACTCGAGCTTTGAAAATCGGTCCAGGGGGTGTGTTCTCTTGTTCGTGTCGTGTACGGTACTCTTGGTGCTGGATTGGTTGGAGTGATCAGGGACGAATGAGTGGCGGGTTTGTTTTGGCGAATATAATGGTCGTGTGTACAATCTTTTCTCGGTCTAGTACAGCACGCGCCGCCATCACTTCAAGCCTCGTATTTTTCCCGAGGCTAGCCTCCTATGTTGGCTAACGTTGTACAGGTAACCTCACGGCGACGAAATAGGTTGTTGTTTTGTAGGCCTCTTGAGTGAGTACCTGTTCTTACGAGTCACAAGTTCTTTTGCTCGTTCTGCATGTAGTTGGGGACAGCACGTGCGACGAGATGTGCACGCGAAATCAATGTACATCGCGTGATGTGTGTGGTCGTTTTGTACACCAGTTAGATGCTTTGCTAGGCCTTTAATCATGCGTGCATGAATAGTTTCGCAGGACAAACTTTGTGCGGACGAGCATGTTGACGAGCTTCAAGTCAAACCGATTCCGTTTTTCCCTGCTCTGCACGGCGGCAAGCCTTTGGATGCCACCTTAACACCTGTCTGTCTGTTTGGGTTGATCTTGTTGGTTACAACACGCGTTACGACTGATCGTCGACATAGCGCCCAACAATGAGCATCATGCACTATTGATCCCGAGAAAGCGATGCCATCATGGTGGCGTTCGTCTGAATGAACAGAACAACAGGCGAATGCTACTGGTATCATCAGGTAATGGAGCGCAATTATTATGTTTGTCGTCACAGCAGCAGTCCTCCCTGAAAGCTGTCGCCTTGTAAAACGAATCCACCCCCGGCGCGATATCTCTTCGTCAAGGGTAAAAACTCGTCCTGGTCGTCACGTCCCACACCATGAAAGTTCTGAGGCGGGGATGAGAGGGCTCGTTGGAACTTCTTCATTTCTGCAACTGGTTACAATTCCCGTCTCTTCCCCACGAGTCAAGATGACGTTCCATTTCTCCTCAAGCACATACATACCACGTACGTGCGCTGTAGACAGTAGTAGAAGAGAGGATGTCATCGGTCAGAGCGTGGATTGCAATCCCTTTCTCACAAGGCAAACCAAAGTGAAGTGCTCAAACACAACATGAACCAACATCAATCCCCGGTAGCTTGTGTTGTCTAGACTAAATACAGTACTAATGCGTGTTGTAGGTTTCATTGCCTCGATTTTGAAAATTCGCCTTGAAAATTCAACTTTCAAGACGTATGCAATGGCATGCATGCGGTACTCGACGTGGCGTCTTCGAGAAAAAAACACAGTTTGGCTTACCCACGCAGACAGGCGCCATTTCCCATGCACCATTCGGTATGTAGCAACTCTACAGCAGCTCTGTCATGACATATGTAAACTACTGCTGAATGTATCATAGATACTGCACAGGCAGTACATGGACCAATAAACGACAATACAGCAGGAGTTTACATACTGAAAGGACTCCACCACGTCCCGTTCGAATGTGAATGTGGGTACAGTCGAGGGACCTTTATAGTGCCGGTATGTGTCGAGAGATTTCACCGGCACTAAACCGGGCACCCGGCAGTATTGCGAATAATGCCAAAACGGCACTATTGAGGGCTAGCCAATCCCTCATTAGTGCCGGTCTGGCACTAATGAGAACGTGTGCGGTTTATGGTGTAGCGCTCACGCTTGCGGGGCCAAGTCAGTACTGCACAGTTGTAGTACGAAATGTATCGACACTGCTGCTATGTGAAGTTCTAGTGTAGGCCTGGGCAGACTTTCTTTCCCGCGACACGTGCGGTTTCACCCTGTCGAGCCCACAAGAGTTTTGTAAAATAAGATCGTTGCATTTCGGGCTACAGCAGTGCCTCACCAAGACTAGTCGACGGCGAAAGGGAAACACACATCATGCACCCGAGTAGGCTGTGACCGGCACAAACTGCTTGAAAAACTCTCGTTCGTAAAAAGCTAAATTTCTAGAGTTGTGAATCGGAACGATGTACACGATATATATCGTCCGATATATATCGATATCGGTATCGAAAATTCGTGCCGATGTTCCGACCGATGTTTTCTTAGGGGCTCCATGAATCAAATTTAGGGTATGCGCAGCAGTACGGAGCCCCTGTACGCCACACACACACAGCACAGCAGCGCAGAAACAGCAGACAACAGCACCATGTCCAGAACCAACCGGGAAGTAGACACAGGGAGAGACCGAAGGAGGGTACTGCTGAGGATACGCGACAATACATCAATCTTAATCTTTTCTTTTTTTTTTCTACATTCCGTGCGATGTTTGCAGCTGAAGTCAAGCCCTTTTTGATGCCGCATTTGGGCCCATTTTGACGGGAAATGAAAGGAAAATGCACCAAATTTTCTGCCTCCGGCGGCGCCTCCGGCGAGGCCCCCTCACCAGCCGGGGGGGGCCGATGGGGGGGCTCGCTTCGCTCGCCCCCATCACGGCTCGCTGCGCTCGCCCGATATTTTCTCCGATATATCGCCGTAGGCGATATATCGGAGAAAATATCGTTATATCGGCTGCTGCGCAGCCGATGTAAAATATATCGTTTTTTCGTACCGATTCACAACTCTATAAATTTCACCCTTTGTTGCCCTCCTTCGATGTTGAAAAATGAAAATCAAGAAGCAAAACGATTAATAAGCGCACCAAAGAAAAAACAAAAAAAGCACACAACTACAGCTGTAATCGCCGCACTTGCTGCGTCGCGACAAATATTTAATTCTCTCGGCTGCCTGGCGCACCCCCTTCGATGTTGCAACAAAAAACAATACAGCAATAAAACAGGCAGCGCACCGCAAGAAAACAACCACTACTGCTACTACATACAGCTGTACTCGCATCCTCGCTACGTCGCGACAAATTCTCTCATGTCCGCGTGGCGCACCCGCGTAGCGGAATGCGCTACTATCATCGCCATCTTCGCTTTCGCTAGATAGAGCGCCGCTTCTCCGTTGCCACTCTCCTCTGCTGCCGCTTCCAGGACGCCGAAGCAAGACGACGGTTCACCATACGCCGGTGGGGCACGGCGCACACGCCCCGTCCGTGTCCTCATCGCCCCTGTCCTCCTCCTGTTCGTCCTCCTCGCGGCCGGCAGACACGCGCACCCCATTCAGCTGTGCCGTCATGTCTTCCACCGTATGTATCCAGTCTGATAGCCTTAATCAACGACTTCATCATCGTCCTCGATACATGTAGTAGCCCACCCCTGAATCGCATTCACCGCTTCCTCCTCGATCCGCTTTCCGGGTTCGATGCGGAGTTCTGCCAACAGTTCGGCGATGTCCTCGTCTTCGATTCTGGATCCCTGCTGCTGCGCCTCGTGCACGCTCGTGCTCAACTTGTTGACAGTCTCCGTGAGAGCCTTCAAGTCAGGCTCGGCGGTCTGGAACCGGGCATTTCCATGTTGATTGGTGAGCTCAGCTGCCATCTCCTCCGGAAGTGTGTTGGCTTTGACAAAGCACCTGGTCCCAGGTGGCGCAGAAAATGTAATGCATTCGCCTCCTGCAGCAGCTAGCAGCCTCGGCCTCGTACTTCTGCCGGTTTTTCTTCACATCCCGGACCAGCCGTACCGAGCACGCGAAGCGGTCCGTTATCTGCTCATGAGTGACCTTGGCACCCATGAGCTTCAGCATCTCAATCAAGCTTGGCGTCCAAATCCGGCGGCGCACGAGGCCCCTTACGAGAAGGCTGAGACTTCTTACTCCCCCCATTCGTGACCTTCGGGCGTTCAGATTGTCCCCTTCCACAGGTGTCAGCTGCTGGCGCCTTGCGCTTGCCGTCCTTGGCGACGCACGCACTGCAGATAGATGCGGTGCTGTTCGTTGTCGCCAAACATACATGCTGCCGCAATTGCGNACGAGAAGGCTGAGACTTCTTACTCCCCCCATTCGTGACCTTCGGGCGTTCAGATTGTCCCCTTCCACAGNGTGGAGCCGCCCGCCACATCCTCCCTTGCAAGGGTGGCCGTGTGGGGCCTGCGGCGTCTTATCCTGTTGAGCGCACAGTTCACCTTCCGCACATGGCATGGTACGCCCCTGGGTAGAGCTGTTCTGGTCTGCAGCAGAACCTGTACCCTACTCCTCTGTCTAGAGTCTGTCCTCTGCCTGGTTGTCTGTGTGTGTTTTCATTATTATTAGCATCGACCGCGCTAACCGGCTGACCAATGAAAAGACGTCAGTCTCAGTGCGGTTGAAAACACAAAACACTTTCATCTTCCATGAACTGGGACCCCGTGAAGGGGCAGCATGTTGTTGTTGTTGTTGTCTTCACATTAAAAACCATCCCGGTCTCTCTATCCAGTACCTCCTTCTGTCTCAATCTCTCCGTACTAATCCATCACTTGACTCGGCCAATTTCCGTGGTCACAGGCTAACGTACCTAGAAAAGGTATACCAAAATAAAATGGACCCCAAGGGTCAGCAGAGCGATAAAATACAAGAAAACAAAATATAATCAGAAACAAATAAAATGAAATAAAAAACATAATTAGACTAGTGGAACGGCCGCACCACCAGCCTGGGGGGGTAGCCTCCCACTACATGGAGGCAGGTCGACGGCCAAAGGAAGGGGCGGGGGTACGTGCCAGTAAAAAA